GAGGAAACACCTCCTGACTCATCCTATGAGGCTAGCATTAGCTTACAACCAAAACTAAGTAAAGACATTACCAGAAAAGAAAGTTATAGACCAATATCTCTTATGAACATAAATGCAAAAATTCTCAACAAAATATTAGCAAATTTAATCTAGCAGAGTATAAAAATAATTACACATCATGACCAAGTGAGGTTTATCCCAGGTATGCAAGGCTGGTTCAACATTTAAAACCAGTTAATATAATCCATTACATCAACAGTCTAAAGAATAAAAATCATATGATCATATCAATAGATGCAGAAAAAGCACTTGACGAAATCCAGTACCCATTCATAATAAAAACTCTCAGCAAACTAGAAATAGAAAGGAATTTCCTCAACTTGATAAAGAACAGCTACAAAATATGTACAGCTAACATCATATTAAATGGTGAGAAACTAGATGTTTTCCACCTAAGATTGGGAAAAGACAAGAATGTCTCCTCTTGTCATTCCTATTCAACATAGTACTGGAAGTCCTATGTTGTCAAATTTTGTTGTTTGTGATTTTGCCAATTTTGAAAAGAATTTTTTTTTTGCAGCAGCAGCAGTATTCAGCTAACAGATACTAAGTAATGGAAAATACTTTGGCCAGTTCTTCTCCCAGCAACCAACACAATGGCCTGGAGCCAACTTTCATTGCAGCAGCAGTATTCAGCTAACAGATACTAAGTAATAGAAAATACTTTGGCCAGTTCTTCTCCCAGCAACCAACACAATGGCCTGGAGCCAACTTTCATATTTTTGAAAACCTCCCTTGGAGATGGGAGACTTCCTTTCACAAGATGAGGAATTTCTTTTCTTTTTTTTTTAAAAGATGACCGGTAAGGGGATCTTAACCCTTGACTTGGTGTTGTCAGCACCACGCTCTCCCAAGTGAGCTAACCGGCCATCCCTATATGGGCTCCGAACCCGGGGCCTTGGTGTTATCAGCACCGTACTCTCCCAAGTGAGCCACGGGCCGGCCCACAAGATGAGGAATTTCTTTTTTCTTTTTTTGTCTTTTGTCTTTTTTTTCCGTGTCCGGCAACGGATCGCAACCCTCAGTGTTGCCCCCGTACCGGACCGGGGACTGGCAACGGGATCGCAACCCTCGGTGTTGCTCCCGCGCCTCGCTCAGCCAGTGAGCGGGAACTGGTCTGTATGTGGGATCCGAACCCTCGGGCGGGAGCGCCGCCGCGCTTCCCAAGCAGCGCACCATCCAGTGCGCCACCGGGCCGGCCCTAGGATGAGGAATTTCTGAAGAGACTCAGCCTGGTCCGTTGCCCTGAGGAAGTTCCATAAAAAAGTCTATGACAGACTCAAAGGAATACATCAAGCCTCTGGACATATCTACAGTTGAGGTCTCTTATTACGATAATCAGGTTTATTTCTGAAGAACCTGAGCAAGAATATAATAAAAAATGACTTGGACACAGACCTAGATTTTATAATAATATCTCCAAACCAAAAGATCTAATTACTTACTACAAAGATCTAGGTCTAATTACCTTTTTTAAAAACGTGAATCTAATGACCTTATTCAAAGACCTATTTGGTTACATATCATTGGATAACAAAATAAATCCACCAATAAGAGTTCAATGAAACTAGTTAGAATTCAAATTGTTGTTGAGACTGACTCATGTGGCAGCTGACCTGAAAGACAGAGTTTGGCAAAAAGAGTTCAATGATTGCAGCTGTTAATCTGAGGGCTCCTGGAACGTTACCAGTGGAAGGTTATCAAAATGATCTCGGTAGGACCTCCATAACTGTCAAAGGGTGTTGAGACTGCAACTCGACATATGAAATAAAAAGACAAAACCCAATTTATTGTTTACTACGAGAGGGAGAGCAGGCAGTCTCTCTAAGCAGAGTAGACTGCTTATTATTGCAAGAATTAGGGGAAGCATGGAGTGTAGGGGATTGATAGGTCGATATCATCTGTAGGTTTACTTGGTGAGGCTATTGATTGATTAGCACTCTGAAGGTGATTATTGGGATAAATCTGTCCCTGAATGACTAACTTTCAGAAGTGAGGGGCAGATCTTGATTGCTTGGTTTACAAAAGGGGGTTCACTGAGGTGAGCTGTCACAGATTGACTAAACTGATTGCAAACCAGTTCTGGTGGTATATTAGTTTTCTGTTGCCACATTACCACTGACTTAGTGGCTTTAAACAACACACATTTATCATTTTACAGTTTCTGTAGGTAAGGAATCTAAGTACAGCTTCACTGGTCCCTCTGCTTAGGATCTCACAAGGCTGCAGTCAAGGTGTGGGTTAGAGTTGGGTTCTCATCTGGAGGCTCTGCTGGGGAAGGATCTCCTTTCCTGATTGCCTGGTTGTTAGTAACATTCAATTCCTTTTGGTTGTTGGACTGAGAGCTTTATTTTCTTTGCTGGCTGTTAGCTGGAGGCTCAACCCTCTGTGACTAGATGGTGCTTGCAGTTCCTTGCCACTTAGTTCTCCAACATGGCCTCTTGCTTCCTCATAGCTAGCAAGGGAGACTCCAGCAGCATGGATCTTACAATCTAATGTAATCATGTATCTCCCATCACCTGTGCATATATTATTGATTAGAAGCAAGTCACAGATCCTGCCCACACTTAAGAGAAGAGGATAACACAAATGCACGAACACCAGGAGGCGGGAATCATGGAGGCCATCTGTCAGTGGTCAGCCTATCTGCCACAGGTGGCTATTTGTTTTCATGGCTACAGAACAATATTTTTCTAAGTTTGTGATGTGGAGCAACTGGAGTGTCAGACTGCTATTGGGAGTGGAAAATGGCAAACCACTTTGGAAAATGGTTTGGCAGTTTCTTGAAAAGTAAATACCATATGTACAGCCATTCCACTCCTAGATATTTACCCCAAAGAAATGAAAACAACCCACATAAAGACTTGTGTATAAATGTTCACAGAAGCTTTATTCATAATGTCCCCAAAATAGAAATAATCCAAATGCACATCGAAAGGCGAGTAGATAAATGGGCCGAGCCCGTGGCACACTCGGGAGAGTGCAGTGCTGGGAGCGCAGCAACGCTCCCGCCACGGGTTCGGATCTTATATAGGGATGGCCGTGCGCTCACTGGCTGAGCGCGGTGCGGCTGGTCTCAAAAAGGACAAAAAAAAAAAAAAAAGGTGAGTAGATAAACAAAGTGAGATATATCCCTGTAGTGGAATATTTCTCAGCAATAAAAAGGAACAGAATAGTTATACACACAATAATGTAGATGACTCCCAAAATCACTATTCTGAGAGAAAGAAGTCAGACAGAAAAATAATACTTCCTGTATGATTTCATTCATTTAACATTCTAGAAATGCAAATTAATCTATAGTTCCCCGAAAGCAGATCAGTTTTTGCCTGGGGTGAAAAGTAGAGGGAGAGATGAAGTGCAAAGGGGCACTTGGAAACTTCTGAGGGTGATGAAAATGTTCTGTATCTTAATAATGATGGTGGCTCACAGATATATACATCTGTCCAGTCACCGAATTGTACACTTTAAAAGAATGTAATTATTATACATAAATTATACCTCAATAAAGTTAATTAGGAACAAAAATTAAATGAAAGAGTTAACAGAGACATATGAGTCTAGACACTTGGAAGAGAAAGTAATGTTGATACTGAGTACAGGTAATTTTGAACAAAATTTTCAGTGTAATAT